CCAAAGCTCCCTAGAGTTGAACTTTGTTTTATCCTGTGCTATCCTCAGCCTCTGACACACTTGAGCCCATTGCAGCAGTCACTGTCAATCCACCTTGTTGAGGGTGGTCTTCTCTTTAACTCACACTGCACCTTTCCAACCATGATGTCCGTTTCCAAGCAATAGCTTCTCCTGGCAACATGCCCAAAGTATAAATTTTGCCATCCTTTCCTCCAAAAAGCACTCTGGTTACACTTTTTCCAAGTTAAATCTGTTTGTTCTTGTAGGATACCCAGTCCTCTTCTCCAATAACACAAATCAAAAGCATCTGACAGCATTTTCTTCTGTCATTATTATTGACTGCCCAGCTCTCAGATGCATATCAAGTGACTGAAAAGACCACGGCCTGAATTAGGTGCACCTTAATCTTCAAACTGGCACCATCACTCCTCTGACAGTGGACTTGCCCAGTGCAATATACTTTTTAATCTCCTTACTCCTGGTACCAAGGATGCTGATTGTGGGTCCAAGGAAGATGAAATAATTGAGTTTCAATCCTTTCTCCATCTATTATGATATTGCCTATTGGCCCAATGGTCAGGCCCTTTGTTATCTTGATGTAGAGATGTAATTCATACTGAAGGCTATCGGCCTTGATCTTGGGCACCAAGTGTTTCAAGTGTTCCTCACTCTCAGCAAGCAAGGTTGTGTCATCTGTGTAAGGCAGGTTGTTGATGAGTAAAGACTCTGACCCTGATGCTTCATTCATCTTCATAGAGTCCAGTTACATAAATTATTTGCTCAGCATACAGAATGAAAAGGTATGGAGAAAGAATACAACCCTGACACACACTGTTCCTGATTTTAAACTATGCAGTGTTCCTGTGTTCCCTCTGGACAAAAGCTTCTTGGTCTAGGTATAGATTTCATATGAGCACAATTAAGTATTCTGGGATTCCTATTCTTCTCAATGTCAAATGGCTTTGCATAGTCAATAAAACACTGATAGGCACTGTGTGTGTGTGTGTGTGTGTGTGTGTGTGTGTGTGTCTGTGTGTGTGTGTGTATACGTACTGTCAGATCTGAATGGTACAGGAGGAGATTGCCTGTCCTTCAGTAGAGCATTTGGTGGATTTGAACTGCGTACCTCAGGGATTGCAGTGCAGCTTCCTGCCACTAGGCCACCAGAGCTCCCTACAGATAGGCATTCTCCTAGTATTCTCTGCTTTCAGTCAGGATCCATCTGACATCAGCAATGAGATCCTTAGGGCTACAGCCTCTTCTAAACTCAGCTTGATCTTCTGGCAGTTCCCTGTAATATTCTAATGTACTGTTCTGGCCATTTTTGGATAATCTTCAACAACATTATTGTATATGAGGTCTGAACCTACCTGTTGTTCAATGGGGAAAAAGATAAGCGGTATCCTTCCAGAAAATTTACAGCCTCTCAGAATATCAGTAGAAGGTCTATGTATGAGTCAGGGCAGGGTCTGAGTTTGGACAAGTCAACAGCAATGGGTTTAATCTTTAGGAAATCAGAGCGCAACACTTCTCTCCTGTAGAACAGCAAGTGGATTCTAAGTGCTGACCTCTCAGTTAGCTTTAAATAAAGCACCACCAGAGTCCCTTGTTTAGAACTACAGTTGGCAACAAAAGCAAATTAACTAAATCACATCATCAAATGGGAACAGCACTTAAGAACATGCTAGGGTGAGTGTGTGTGTGTGTGTGTGTACACACACAAATACTTGCTGACCTCTTATTAACAAAGTCAATTAAAAAGAGCTGGGTTATCTGGAAGGATTCAATATTAGTTCTAATCATGCATCAAAAATTGTTGTTGCTATGTACCATTGAATCAGAAACGACTCATAGTTGACCCTCCAGTGGGTTTCAGAGGTTTGCAAATCGCACAAGAGGAAATTACCAACTTCCTCCCCCGGAGTGACACTTATGGATTTGAACTAAATGCTTCTGAGTTGGCAGTACAACTCCTTACCACCAGAGTCCCCAAATGAAGGGTAGCTAAAGAAAAAAAAAAAAGGAAAGAAAAAGGAGAAAAGACATAAAGTGCTAAAGAAAGCCAGATAATTCTCAAACTGACTTGCCTAACAGACTAGAGTCATCAGGCAAGTTAATTCACTTCTCCATGTCTTAGTTTCTTCATGTAAAACTGGCCTAGGCAAACAACAAATGCTGGTGAGGATGCAGAGAGATCAAAATGTAAAAGGGTACAACCACTATGGAGGGCAAACTGGTGCTTCCTCAACAAGTTGGAAATAGAAATACTATTTGACCCAGCTATCCCACTATTGGGAATATACCCCAAAGAAATCAATTCTGACACAAACAAATATTTGCACATCTAAGTTTACTGCAGCATTATTCATAACAGCAAATCACAATGGGAAAAGATAGAAAAATGATACATACACATAACAGGATACTAAGTAGCACTGAAAAATAATGAACTTGTAAAACACTACACAACACAGATAAGTGTGGAAGACATTACACTGAGTGAAATCTCATTTACTAAGAGTCAAATACTGCATAAGTCTACTATTGTAATGATAAGATCCAGACTAGGAGAGAGGGGAGAGGAATAATGAACACCAAACTGGAAAGGATGAAAGGAAAAATATGAAAAGAACAGACATTAGAAACCATAGGTAGGATAATTAATAGCCTTACAAGAGGAAGAGGGAGGGAGGAAGGAAAGTGCATGAATGAAACCAAACTCTTTGTGAACTTTCACTAAAAATAAAACAAAACAACCCAAAAACTGGCATGGGGATAAATGGGAAGAAACTGAGTTCCTAGGTCTTTTTCCTTTGGGACTCAGGCCCACACACTATACCTCCTTTTCTCCCCATTACCGCCTCTCAGTATACTAATACACTTAAACTTTCTGAAAATGTCTGGAAAGGTTTGAAAATAGGTGGGCCAATTCCAACTCATGGTCATTCTTCAGCGTGTTTCTGAGGCTGTAACTCTTTTATTTAGATTTCTTTTACTGAAGGTTTACAAATCATGTCAGCTTTTCATGCAATCACTTAACAAATATTCTGTTTTAAAACATTAATTACCACCAGTTAATAGAATTTATTTATCATAATGTCTAATCAAATTTTTATTATATACTGCCTTTCCCTTCACCAAATATTAATTCTTCCTCCCCTTTCCTTTTTTGTGCTGTTAACCCTCCAAGATTTCTGAAATGTGTGTAAACCTTTCCTACTTGCTAGCTGTGTGCCACTGAGTGGGAACCTGCTCATATTTGACCTCCCATGGACTTTCAGAGGCTGTAACAACACAGAAGGAGACTCCCCATTTTTCTCCTTCAAAGCAGCTAGGGATCAAACTGCCTGCCTTTGTGTTGGCAGCACAACTCCTTATCACTAAGCTACCAGAGCTCAAATATTTCCTTATGTTTTTATATTAATGGTCTTATACTATAATTGTCCTTTTCTGAAAGACTTATTATGTCACCTAACATAATTCGTTCCAGATTCATTCATGCTTTGAAGTATTTCACCAATTCTGGATCGTTTTTTAGTGATAATTATGTGAGTGTACCACAGTTTCTTTAGCTATATCACTGAGTAAGTGCACCAATTTCTTGAGCCATTCACCTTTTGATGGGTATTTCAGTTGTTTCCAACTCTTTGCTATTGTACATAATGCTACAATAAACATAGATGCATGTCAGTTTACATTGTAACCCTTGTTCTTTGAAATATATACCTAGTAAGACTCCTGGATCAAATGGTGTTTCTAGTTCCAACAATCTAAGGAAACTGAGGCTATAAATCTTCACAGGACAGGCCACCTCAGTTTTCTCCAGAGGAGCAGCTAGGGGGTTCCAAATGCCAACCTTTTGGTTAGACAATGATATGTAGCCAACATTCATAGGGCACTCCAACTAGCCTAGCAGTCAAGAAAGAGGGGAGTGGGAGGTCTGCACATCCCCAAGTATTTCACACTTCCCTGTTTGGACTTTAGGCTGCTGCCATAGGACAAACTGGAAAACCCAATGGTAGTTTTATCACAATGTTGTCCTTAGTTGTCATCAAGCTGATTCTGACTCCATCAGTTCAAGAGTCAGTTCAAAGATTTTATTCAAAGATCAAAGTCCTTAAGGAAAGATATATATTTGTGGCCAGTAGAGAAGACAAGAATTGTGCCCTATTTAAAACAGATAATCAGTAAATATTTTAATTATTCATTTAAATATCAGGTCTTACTAAGTTTCTTTTATGCCTATTCTCATAGGAGACCTTTCCCAGAAAAGCAAGCATTTCTGAAAGCAAGCATGGGAAGGAAATAGCAGGCCCTGCTTAAAAGAACAAAACGTTCTCCTGCTGAAGGGATGAGTGAAATAGAACAAGGCGATTCATTCAAAACCAGTGGGCCACATATGAGTATGTGATGAGTATGTGATGGGCCACATGAGTTGCTGGCCAATGTGACATACTATGTACTTAACCTCCTACAAAGACGACTTGACTCTGTTAAGGCAAACCCAACATGAATAGTCCCCTCTTCATAAGAGATATTTCCCAGTGACTTTGCAAAGGACCCTTTCACTGATGCTTAGCCCTCTACTTAGGGTAATTATCAAATATTTGGAAAACCTTGTGACAAGTTACCACAATAACTATCACAACCAGAAAAGTACATCAAAAATATTAGCCTCTACTTCCATACTCATCTACTAAATTACACTGCGAGATAAATACAATTCAGTATTGTGAAAGGCATTAAAAACTCTTCTTAGATTCCATTTTCGCAGCAGAATTCGCAAATATAGAAAAATACAGATAGAGGGAATCATTTCATGGACGTTATTTTGTGCAGCGACTGCGACTGTTAACTTTTTAAAAATTACATCATTTCCAGATATCGCAAAATGAAAATAATGGGTAAACACTGCAGCTGGACTTTTTAAAAAAGTAGGACACCAGTTGGAAAGGCAGCAGCGGGCCTATGCCCGACCTCCGACAATCAGGGCGCCGTACGCCCTCCTGGACCGTGATTCGGGCGGTAATCGCCGGGCAGCCCGTCTCGCCGCACGCCCTCCCCCTGCGCTGGGGCGCGCACAGGGCTCGAGAGCAAGCCCCGCGAGCGCTCACAGGCCGGCCTGTGTGAGCGAAGGGAAGGAAATGACACAGGCAGGAAAAAAAAGCAAATCAAGGAAAAGACACAACAGCAGCTGGGCCTGCACCAGCCTCCAGCCCGAGCCCCGCTGAGCTCTTGCTTCCCCACCCGCGGACTCGCGCTCGGACTCGCCCCAGCCAGCGCGGCT